AACCTGTCCATCTTTGTTTTCTAAGAACCTGTATACAAAGCAGAGTGTTTTCAGAATTTGCAAAGCGTTATTTCGAACATAAGTTTATTGTCTTCTTTTCGGGAGACCGTTGAATCATTTACATCTGTCGAACAACATGTAATGCTTCGCTGTGAAGGCAAAAACACTACATAAGGATAAACGAACAACATTCAGTAGTGACTTTGTTTATGCGCTATTATATCCTAAGCGCAAAAATAAAACTTGAAGTGGGCGCCTGCATCTAGATTAAAAGTGCATTTATCCAACTTGAATCTAACCCATGTCTTGCACAAATTGAAAATCTGCACAAGTTCTTTAAAGATTCTGCTTCTTGAAAGTTCCTGATCAAGATCTTGACACACAATTTTCAAGAATATCAAGTCGGATCCTTCAACAAATCCCGATCAGGATTCACTACGACTTTGAGTCTGACGTATCTTGCGGGCTCTTTATCAAGATCTTAAAAAGACTAATAAAGAAATTTATACTTATTCATAACGTTTCATTGAATAGTCTCGATATTGTCTGAAGAGTACCGTAAGAGTCGTAAGTTGAGCAGCACTGTTGGTACCGTATAGTACTGCAGAGCTAGTGCTGAAGAATACAGTAGATGAAAATCAAAAATAACTGAAAATAATACTTTATGAATCCAAATCTTGATCCAGTCTTTTTAAGACAAGTTCCGTAACAAAAACTGCCGAAGTCTTGAACTACAAGGTGATCTCAAGATCTTGACCGATGTTCAAAAATCTGCGTAAGATCTTGAAGTAATTGAGCAAAAACTTGAGAAACCTTTCAACTTTTAACCAAGATCTCGGTTCAAGATTTGTGACCTGCGTGACTACACTGAAATATATAAAAATTTCATCCAGCTGCATTTGGATTAAATCTAGTTTCAGTTGAGTGCAGCTAGATGCTGGTTATTAATCAGGCAATGAAATTAATCAGTCGATTCAGTGACCACTTCGACTAAAACACAATTTAATTAGTATTCAGCTAGATAAATGTACTTTTTAATCGAGCTAGATGTCTCGCTTATTTAGTTTTACTTGTTGAGATTCGAGAAGCATAATTGATTGTTGAACACCTTCGTTTCGTTCTGTTTCTAGATGTCGTTATTGAAACCCACATTTCGAATATTATCTGCATTTCGACCAGTTATACGAAGCATTAAAACAAGTACCGGGAAAGGATCGGTCGAGAAGCAAGATATCAATGATGATGAAGACGCATCATCATTTTTAACAGAGAATTTCAACGATCGTGCTGCAATGGAACGAGCAGTGAGTACAGATGGAAGAGAACGATCACTGAACAGAATTGAATTGATAGGTATATTAAGAATGACATCGTATCAACATGTCCTTAACTAAATGACGTCTGTTTATCGTAGGACGTGTCGGCGCCGATCCCAAAGTAGCTGGTTCGGAAAAAACAAAAGTTGTCATATTCAGTTTAGCAACAAATGAGTACTCCAATTCAGCAGTTGATGGGGCTCCAATAAAACAGCGTGTCGACTGGCATCGTATATCGATATTTAATAAAAGATTACTTGAAAATGCTGAAAAATATATTCGTCAAGGTGATCGTCTCTATGTGACGGGACGTTTACATCATAATATGATCAAAGATAAAAATACTAACCAAAATTTATATGTCACGAGTATTATCGCAGACGATATGATATTTTTGACGAAAAAATCGTGACAGTTTTTACCTTTTTTGTTATCGTTGTCGTCAGCTGTTAAACTTGAACTATCATTTTTTTCTGTTTGAAAGACTTATTACTAC